GATGAAACAGTAGCTGGTATAGACACCGTAGTTCCCTATATGCCGAAATGAGAGCGACTGAGGCTGTGGGAAAAGTGTTATGCAATGTAATGCAAGTGCCTACAGCAAAGGCTTTATGCTTGCTATGCTATAAATTCTAATAAACCTCTGAATCCCAAAGTGAGACTTTTGTGGTGTGCTCTCTGTTCAAATGTTATTAAGTGCAGCTATGTTCATGACTTGACATCCGTAAAAGGAGGACTCAAGATTGTTGGGGGGGTAATATGCCGGCGCGGTAAACCGCTTAGAGGACTGTAAATCCACCATGAAACGGTATATTTTAGATTAGAATAACAGAGTGAGAAGGGACATTGGAGGTCTTCTAGTCCACCCTCTGCTTAGGCAGGAAACCCTACACCACTTCAGACATATGGCTATCCAACATCTTCTCAAAGACTTCCAGTGTTGGATCATTCACAACTTCTGGAGGCAAATTCTGTTCCACTGATTAATTGTTCTAACTGTCAGGAAATTTCTCCTCAGTTCTAAGTTGCTTCGCTCCTTGATTAGTTTCCACCCATTGCTTCTTGTCCTTCCCTCTGATGCTTTGGAGAATAGCTTGACTCCTTCTTCTTTGGGGCAACCCCTGAGATATTGGAAGACTGCTATCATGTCTCCCCTAGTCCTTCTTTTCATTAAACTAGACATACCCAGTTCCTGCAACCGTTCTTCATATGTTTTAGTCTCCAGTGCCCTAATCATCTTTGTTGCTCTTCTCTGCACTCTTTCTAGAGACCCCACATCTTTTCTACATTGTGGCGACCAAATCTGAATGCAGTGTTCCAAGTGTGGCCTTACCAAGGCATTATAAAGTAGTATTAACACGTCACGTGATCTTGATTCTATCCCTCTGTTTATGCAGCCTAGAATAAGGTAAGATAGATATAGATCAGAATTTCTCAACCTTGGCAACTTTAAGACGTGTGGGCCAATGCAGAGTGAGCTCATCCCTCATGAAAACTGGTGCCATGCAAATGACACAGGCTTTATGCTGGTCTTCTTCCCCCCCCCCCCCAAAAAAAGGGCACTATAAAATGGCTTAATGGAGCTAATCCATCAAAAAGAGGCTATAGGATTTTAAACTTACACAGTGTTTCCCAACCTTGGCAACTTGAAGATGTCCGGACTTCAACTCCCAGAATTCCCCAGCCAGCAAGCTGGCTGGGGAATTCTGGGAGTTGAAGTCCGGACATCTTCAAGTTGCCAAGGTTGAGAAACACTGACTAGAAATTGGAAGCTCAAATGAGGACCAAACTAGATTCAAACCAATTGGGTTTTAAAGAAGAGACTGGACAGTCACTTGTTTGAAATGGCTGAGCAGGGGGCTGGACTAGAAGACCTCCGAAGTCCCTTCCTGTTCTGTTCTATTCTATTTAATTCTCTCCTATATAGGTGTAAGTGCTATTGCTATAGTCCCCAGGAATCCAAGTGGAAGGAGCGTTTTATCCGCGCAAAGCAACACCTTCCCTCAGGCTTCACCCACCTGATGTTAACTACGACCCTCCCGCTCTCCTCTCAAAGGCCCTTCGCAGGGGGAATGCCGGGAGTTGTAGTCTCCATAGATCGGAACGGAAGTTCTACTGAGGGAAAGAAAGCTCGGGTGGATGAGGGAGGACAGTTAAAAGAGGCCGGGGGAGTCGGGTGGGGTGAAATACGGGGCCAGCCGCTCTCGCCCCCATTCTCCGCTCGGGAAGCCTCACCTCTTCGCCTCAGCAGCAAAGCCGCCACGGCGCTGTCCACTCCGCCAGACATGGCGCACACCACGTGCCGGCCCGCGGCCCCTATCATGGTCTGGCTTCGCTGCTTTCAAAGGGCCGGCCGCGCTTGCTTTGCGACCGCGGCCCACCGTGACTTGAAGGGCAGAGGCGGCAGGACGGGGCCGCCTCTGGGCGGAGCTGAGCTCACAAAAGGCCGGGGAAAGCCGGGCTTCTCCTCTGCTCTCCCTCCGGAGGAGGGCCGCTTTTGGGGGGGGGGGGAGTCCTGACAGTGGGAGGAGCTTTCTTGTCCTTTTATTTTTGGGTCGTATAGGCCAAGGGGCCTTCAAACTTAGCAGCTTTAAGACTTGTGGACTTCAACTCCCAGAATTCCCCAGCCAGCAAGCTGGCTGGGGAATTCTGGGAGTTGAAGTCCACAAGTCTTAAAGCTGCTAAGTTTGAAGACTCCTGGCATAGGCCGAGGAAGATGATGGAAGCTGAAGTCCTGCCTTTTTGATTCACCCCAGGCGGAGGAATGGGAGCAACCACTGGACACCTGTGTGTTTGCACACGTGCGCACCTTCAGGGTCAGGGATGGTTCCTGGTGCCTGTCTGAACCAGCCCCAGCTTTTTTTTTTTAAGGAAGATTTTTGGAGCTGTTTTTGCCATATCTGATTTCTGAGGGTCTGAAAGGGACTGACTCTCATTGTCTCCTGGGTTTAACCAGAGGCCTTAACCACTGTACCAGACTGGGCCGGTGCAGATTTGCCAAACCTGTGTTGGGATCACTTGTTTTGAATAGGTTCCTGTTGTGTTGTAAATATGAAGCTTAACAACTTCAGAAATTGTGGGGGGCTTCATCACGGGAGTTTTTTAAGAAATTTGTTTGAGATGGGGTATCCTGCTTCAATTGGGAGCTGGACTAGAAGACCAAGGTCCCTTCCCTTCTATTCCATTCCCATTACTTCCATTACATTACATTCTATTCTATGCCAAGGCAAGTTCCAGACTTTTAGGAACCATTCCTTAAACCATTATTTCTTCCTACTTAGCAAACTTGAAGATGTGTGGACTTCAAATCCCAAAATTTCCCTAGTCAGCATGTTGGTATTTGGTATTCTAGGAATTGAAATTCACGCATCTTCAAGTTGCCAAATTTGAAAAACACTACCTTAAACAAAGAGATATTTTTTTATTCTTAAGACTATATTATCTTCTGTTAGTTCTGTTGGTTGATATGATTGCCATATCATTCATGGATAACCATGTTAAGGAACTTACGTAAATGAAATATATGGGGATTTTATAAAATCAGTGTTGATGGAAGGCAAAGGGAATAAACCTACTCAAGAATATATGCTGTTTTGGAGGGGATAAGGGCACAATTGGAATATACTGTGTATCTTAGTTGTTATAGATGAAGAAATATAAGGGGGGGAGCATCTCTAGATGATGGGGGTACATTGTAATATTTGGGTTTTTTTCCTTTTTGCTTTCTTTTTTGTATTTACTATGTATTATTTGAATTTTAAAAAATTAAAATTAAAAAGGAACTTATGTAAAGACAGTTCACCTGACCTTTCTTAAAATAAGTGATAAACACTAGATAAGAATTAAGGCATTTCCCCACTTGCATTTAACCTTAATGTAAGCATGCCATGTATCATTTTTTTTCTGTTACTTAATGATTTTTCATTCCTTTCATCAGAAGTGGGTTCAGCCTGGTGCTTTATAGCATCTTTCCTGCTAGCATTTTCCACTGTGCCCAACACATTTCCAAGTCAGTCCCTGGCTCAATGTGTTTTAATGTTGTATCTCTATGAATGAATGATGGGAGGCTATGCAGTGAAACGGGAAATCTTATTTTGCTGAGCAGCTACCCTGAAATCACTGATAAGTGTGGGAGAGCAGCACAGCAGTCTGCTCTGGTAGAAAATGACTATTCTTCTGCATTCGAAGCTATGCTTGATTTGTCAGCGAGCAAATGATCCCATACTATTTGAATAAAAGCAATCCCCCCCCCCCCCAATTGCAGATTGGAGAATTTGGAGAGGAAGAGATCACAAGAGAGTTGAGAATACACACTGAAAGGAATGCATTGATTCTGGAGCTGAAAGCCACAAGTGCACTAGGCAAACAGGCAGTATATTTCCTATTGTGTGCCTGCTTTTTGTTTTATAATCTCTTCCTATCCAATCTCTCTGCTCTTGTGAAGAGTGGGTCAAGCACAGCAGAGATTGCCTACTATCAAAATTGCTTTAAAAAAAATCCTCCCTTCAAAAAGCAGAGGAATGACTTAAACAATAATAGTGGTATTTTTATATTATCATTTCTTTCTCTTTGACAATGATAACTATATTTTATAGTTATAATGTACAGTGAAGATGGCATTTAATTTCATTGTACAAGGTGCAATAACAATAAACAACTACAACAACTAAAACAAAATGTGCAATTCCTATTTTATATATTACAGGACAAAACTTCACCTACATCTGAGCTGTTGCAATAAGATAAAGAAATGCAATACTGGTTTTGCTTTTTACAACTTTTTATTATTCATTCTATAAGGAATTCCATGAGGCAAATAACCTTTCTAACATGAATTGCCTTAACAAGCCACTTAGAAATGAAAGATTAGAGACTAACATCCAGTTAGCAGCAGCTAGTTGCTGCTAACTACAATTTTTAGCCAGACAGAAAGATGAATAGGATTTTTAAAACTGAATCACAATGGAAAATAGTTTGGGGCAGTATACTGTAATTCTCTACTGAATTATTCAAATTAATAATTTTTTGGAGAACTCGTTCCTTTTTGCACATCTGTTTGTTGACTATAAAGGAAAAGTGAGAAACACATTCTATCCTGCCGTAAATAGAATTTCTACATTTAAAAATCTGCCATTCTTACAGAGATTGAATTGTGATAGTCTTCAGAGACTCTGAATATTTTGCAATAATTATGAAAATATGTAATCAATATTTTAAAAGCTTAACTTTATTTCAATATATTTGATATACACCTACAATTTACTTTGCACAATTTTAAAACAAATATTTTACCAGGAAAGACATTTACTACAACCAAAATTGCTTAAAATAAAAAACTGTATATTTTCTATTTTTCCTAGCAGCAATATATCAACATTTCAAGTTCACAATTTTAATTTCATGTCTTTTTTTTCCAGAATGAAAACTACTGACCAGCAAACCATTAGTTGCTAAACTCTAGATTTTTTTCCAGTTTGAAAGCCTTTTTTTTTTAAATCAGAATTTCAGAAGAGGTGAATTTTCTTTATTTCCTTCAGGACTTAGTTTCATCAAAGGAGAGCTCAGATCTATTAGCTAGAAGTAGAAAATATATTATTAAAACATTGACTAAACACAACTTTTACATTCTTGAAAATATAAAGAACCCCATTTGTTAGCAAATCTACATTAACAGTGCAGTTTTGATTACAATCAATTGCACCCAATTCAAATATTAATTTTGCAATAGCTTATTAATGCCAGCTTTTGGCAGAATTTTGAGGTTAAATTTTTTAACATGCAGTATATATAACATCAGAATTATGTGCACTCAACTGTATCTTAAAAGATATACCGTATTTATCGGCGTATAACACGCACCGGCGTATAACACGCATCCCCCATTTTA